TCAATATAAAGAAAACAAAAATCCTCACAACTAGTCCAATACAGCTTCATGGTGGATGGAAAAAAGATTGAAGTCAAAGATTTCATATTACTTGATTCTACAATCAACACCAATGGAAGCAACATTTAAGACATCGGATGACATATTACATTGGGCAAATGTGCTGCAAAAGACCTCTTTCAAGTGATGAAAAGCAAAGCTGTCTCCTTAAAGACTAAGGTGCATCTAACCTAAGCCATGGTATTTTCAATTGCCTCTTATGCATGTGAGGGCTGGATAATGAATAAGGAAGAACCAAGAAGAGTTAATGCTTTTGAGTTTCGGTGTTGGAGAAGAATCCTAAGAGTATCATGGTCTGCTAAAAGGACTAACAAATCTGTCCTGAAGAAGTGCAGCTGGAATCTCCTAGGAAGTGAGAAGGGCCAGACTTTGTCTCACCTACTTTGGTCATGTTGTCAGAAGGAACCATTCCCTGGAGACAGATATCATGCTTGGTAAAGTGGAGGGTCACCAATGAAGGGGAAGGCCCTCAATGAGCTAGATAGACACAGTGGCTGCAACAATGGACTCAGGTATAGAAAGGATTGTGAGGCTGGCACAAGACTGGCCAGTGTTTCATTCTGCTGTGCATAGGGTTGCTATGAGTCAGAGACAACTCAATGGCACCTAACAACAACAGCAACAACTAGTTGTCCCAATCTATTCTAAGTTCTGTGATATAGTAATTTATAAAATGAAGTCCCTCATCTTATGGAGCTTGTAAGGAAGACAGATGTGGTAGTTAAGGTTACATGTCAACTTGGCTGGGCCTGGTTTTGAGTGGCTGGGCAGCTGGATGTAGTGTTCCCATGATGACACTGGTAATCAGTTCCATGATGGAATATTTTGTGAGCAGCTGGGTAGCTACCTTAGGGATGTGGTCTGTTCCAAGTATATAAGGAGAAACTTTAGGGAATGATCTGTAGTTTTTGGCATGCTTGAATTCTGCAGGTAGCCAACTTGTTCAGCAGCCTGCCATGTTGTCTGCTGATCTTGGGATTCTTAATGGACTTGAGTCAGTGGTCTGCCATGTGGTTTGGTAAGATTAGGACTGTGCCTTTTTACTTGTCAATCTTGGGTTTGTCACCCTCAGCATCCAGCAGCTGCCCGAGTGAAGAAAGCCTCCAGCTTCTGTGGGCCAGAAGCAAGAGGCAGAGCTGAAGCCCAAGGTTGAACGGACTTCACCCAGCCCATAGAGCCTGGCACTTTGAACTCAGACTTCTAGCCTCTAAAACTGTAAGAGAATAAATCACTGCTTGTTAAAGCCACCCATTTGCTGTAATTTCTGTTAGAGCGGCACTAGAGGTAACCAAACCAGAATAACAGGCAATAAACAGATTTTATACATATATATATAATATGAATGATGTAGGGGCACAAACCTCAGTAGATTGTCCCTGGTCAACATCATCTTTCTCTGTCTTGGTTAATGTTTAAACAAACCAAACACACTGCTGTTGAGTTGAATCCAACTCATAGTGACCTCTCTTTGGGTTTCTGAGGTGATATCACCACGGAAGTAGATTGCCCAACCTTCCTTCTGAGGAGTGGCTAGTGGGTTTGAACCACCAGCCTTTTGGTTAGCAGTCAAATATCTTAGGTACTACGCTACCAGAGCTCCGGGGTAGTGTTTGGTTAGTGTACGTCTTCTGCCAAATTATGTCTGTTCTTTTGAACTTGGATATTGGGGCATGGAATCTGTTTTCCTCAGTTGCTTGCAAAAGGTTCTGATAAATAGGGAAAGAATTGTTGTTGTTGTTGGATGCCATCAAGTGGATGCATGATTACCTTTTGTATGCAGAACAGAACTGCTTCATGGGGTTTTCAAGGCTGTGATCTTTCAGGAGCATATTGCCAAGCCTGTCTTCTCAGTTTTTGGGTGGGTTCAATCTGCCAACTTTCAGCAAGTAGTCAAGTGTTTAAAGTTTGCACCACCCAGGGACTTTTAGGGGAATAAGTGTTGTTGTTAGGTGCTGTCTGACTCATAGCAACCCTATAGATGAAAGATAGAGCTACAGAATGAAACACTACCGGGAACAATTAGTTCAGGAATTTTAGATAAGACTGCGGGGAATTGATTGAGTCTAGAAAAATGGGCCAAAATTTTTGAGTGGAGGAGGGGACAATATTCCATATAAAAGGAACTGCATAAATAAGGGAAGAGCTAGAGTCACAGGCTGCAGGACACAAAAATTGACATATGGTGAGATGTATGGGCATAGCCAAGTTCTGTAGAGCTTGAAAACATAGAGAATTTGGGGACTTTTTTTTAACAAGTAAAAATATTACAAGTGGTAAATTAGTACAAAAATGTATATTGATTTAAAGTAAGAAATGCATCACAATAAATTATACATTTTGCAAGTCTAACAATCACCATAAATCAACAAAGTTTGTAAGAACACATAATATTCCAATTAGTTGTCTCCCACACCTCTATAATATTGTTTTATTCCTATATCATTTTTTAGCATCTGAGGTGAATTGCTTGATGTGGTCCTTCTAGCCATTGTCCTCCATTCTGTGATGTATTGTAAATCCTATTATCCATGTCTGTCTGGGGTGGTGTTGTCATTAAGGTCGGGTGTCAACTTGGCTGGGCAGCTGGTAGTAGTCATTCCCTATAATGACTGACAATTGGCTCTGTGGTAGGATTTGCCTTGAGCTGCTGATTGTTAAAGCCATCCACTTGGGTTATTTCTGTTGCAGCAACACAGGTGGAATGTATCTCGAGTCCTGCCTTTTTGGAGGGTATAATTCAAATCACTACCCTTAGCTTCCTTGAGGGTATACCTATGAATCTCTTGGGAAGGTTTGCCCTCCTCTTGCTCTGGTTCTGTGTTTTGGCTCATCCTCATTTCACCCCTGGATTTGGGACAGCAGTCGTCATCTGGTCTGCTGATCGAGGTACATCAAACCCTGAGAACTGGAAGGATACTCCAGACCCACTCAAAGACCTGGGACTCACCAGCCTGCCAGCCTCCACTACTACTACGTGAGACGATCCCTTGGGTGTCTGTGAGTTCTGTGAGGCGTTACAGCAAAATACAGAACACTAAGACTGGGGAAATTATTGGGAGGAGGAGGAGGAGGAGTTAATGTCTGAAACGATGGAGTGGTATGGCAGTTGGGACATTTGGGACATCTTTAACCTCTGCCTCATGGGGACTGGCCTTGTGCTGATCTTTCTGAGATTGTTCAAGCAGCGTCATACTCTGATCACTTCAGTTTTGTACCTGTAATATATTTTCTATAGAAAGAATTGAAAGCTAATTCACACAGAGACAAACTTGCTATTTGTGATACCACCAAAGGTTTGTGTTCTTCCATACAAAGGAATTCAGATCAATTCTATTTTTTGTGAGTCCCATAAAAAATGTATTGATGTGGGAGGAAGGCAGAGAGGAAGGAGTCAAAGAAACACGTTGTAGTAATACTGTTTTCAGGGAACATTAATGTATGAAATTACTTTTAAATAAATGAAGAAATTAGGGCAATAAAGAAATTTGCTAGACCATAATGTAAAGGTTTATCCAAAGAGAAAGGTAAATCAGTTTTAAAAATGGTCAGCCTTTTGCTCTGGTATGTTATGAGAATATCTTAGAAGAAAACTCACACTATGGGCCTGTAAAACCAAAAACCAAACCCACTGTCATGGAGTGGATTTCGACTCATAGCAACTCCTATTGAGTTTCCAAGGTGGTAAACCTTTATAGAAGTAGATTGCCTGGTCTTCTTTCTGAGGAGTGGCTGGTGAGTTTGAACCACCAGCCTTCTAGTTAGAAGTCAAATGGGTTAGGCACTGTGCCATCAGAGCTCCTTGTAGAGTTGTAGCTAGATTTAAAAAAAAAAAAAAAAGTGTGTTAATTCAGTCTAGTTCAGATGACCTGCCCTCAAGACACTTCATTCCCTCTCTCTTGAGCAGAGAGCTGTGACCAGCTGCTGAAGGAATTCATACCACAATTTCAGAGACTGACTGAAGGATGGGGAGACAGGGGTGGGAGGACAGAGTTGGTCCCAGTAGGGAGGGTCTGGGGAAATAGGGTGAAGAACCCTGAGAGTTGAAAGTATCAAGGGAGGAGGGAGCCAGGAGAGAGGGGGGGTGAAAAAAAAAAAAAAAAAAAACAGAGGTGGGTCAGGTTTCCGGGCCTGCAGGGTAGCAAGGGGTGGAGAACCACGCCCAGCCAATCGGCAACGGCTATGGCTACTTGGCTGCGGCTAAGGACCCAGAGGGACAGCCCAGTGCAAGGCTGCCTCCTCTGGGAGCAGGTTTTCAGGTTCTAGTCAGTGTGCACACTGCCAGCGGCTAGAGCTGGGGTTGCAGAGGTTCTGTGTGCAGGCAGAGAGCGCTGTGGCCCTAACGCAGGGCGGGAGCTGCCTCTACTGCGCCCGCCCGCTGGGCCACCTCTTTCTTCCCTCCCTGTCCTCACCCCACGAGTGGTGTCACCGAGGAGCCAGCTGGAGAGGCGGTGCTCAGCTTCAATCCTAGGCTTCTGTTCTCTTCGCCACGCAGTACCGCTGCCTGGGAGCCGTATCCGTGACCCTCCCCCGATCGCCATTGTCTCGGAGTCACAGAGTCTGGACTCAGCAGCTTTCTGGTAGATCTGATGGCCACAACGCCCGATCCATGACAGATCTCTGCTTCCCAGAGCCCTGGTCTTCTCGCACGTGAACCTTCGGACAGAGGGGAGAGTGGCTCCAGGTACTTTCTCGGTTCTCGGCAGATGCCCTCCTCTCGCCAGCACGCCTGCTTGGGAAGAAGGAGGACACGGAGCCGTTGACCAGACCGTCCCAGTACACCACTCTTTCTAGTATCTGCTGACTCCCGGGAGTTCAGTGGCTACCGCGGTGAAGGGACCGAGCTGTTGGCTTTTGGAGATCCCAGGTTCCTCCTATTCCCCCACCCTCAGCTCCTGCTTCCCCTGGACCCTTTGGCCTCCACGTTTGAGACTGAGAGACCGATGCCGCCGCAGCAAGGGAACTCAGAATACATCAGCAAGCCGGTGGCGGCGAGCTGCTGCAGCAGCGAGGTCCCGCCCGTGCCCCCGCGCAGGGTGCGCAGCGGCCCTACTGCAGCGCTAGCAACCCGCTGTCGAGTAGGCGGCGCGGAGAGGCGCAGCATCAAGTGCGTGCTGGTCGGAGATGGCGCCGTGGGGAAAACGAGCCTAGTGGTGAGCTATACCACCAACGGCTACCCCACCGAGTACATCCCCACTGCCTTCGACAACTTCTCTGGTGAGGGAGCTGGAGGCTTGGGTGTGAGAGGGAGGAGGGGAGTGGCGCCGGCTAGGGTTGTCCAGCACTTTGGTTGAGAAACACACAGTTACATTAGCCTCTGCACATGGCAAAGGTATTAACAGGGTTTTTGAGAGGAGGAAAGGACTGGAGACCGAAAGATAGTAAGATATTCCAGGACTTCCAAGGGAAAATGGCAGGGTACCGTGCTAGACTCTAGCTGGAAAATAGATCAAGTTCAGAGTTCAGTGTTCTTAAGTCTTAGCAACTGGGAAGGAGCCCTAGTGGTGCAGTGGTTAAGCCCTAGGCCTTTCCAGCTCATCCACAGAAGAAATAACCTGAAGATTTGTTCCTGTAAAGGTTAAAGCATTTGAACCCCTTTGGGGCAGTTCTACTCTGTCTTTATTGGGTCACTATGAGTCGGAATCCATTCCATGGCACACAACAATAATCTTTTCAGTGTCACTTAGAGCTCCTAAAGCCCTTATATATGTATGGGGTATAATGGTAATGTCACATGGTTTGATACGTACAAAGCTAAATGAATCTTTTTAATTACAACCTGATTTTTAATATGTTAGTTCTTGAAACTTAAGAAAAAAGTTATCCAGAAGCTACTGTGAAACATTCTCTTACCCCTTTGAAAAAAACATACTTCATTGACCTATTTCTAGAGGTCTTCCTAATGTATGATTGGGCTTGATTTCTTCCAACTTAGAGGCAGCCTAGATAAAGTAGTACCAAGGAGCACTGGTGGCACAATGATTAAGCCCTTAGCTGCTAACTGAAAGGTCAGTGGTTCTAACCCACTGGAGAAAAATGTGGCACTTGGCTTCTTGAAAGATTACAGCCCTAGGAACTCTATGGGCCAGTACTACTCTGTCCTACAAGGTGCATTTCCCCACCTAAGTTTTTTTTTTTTTTTTTTTTAAACCCTATTGACTAGTATAGATGATCTAGAAAGCTGTTTTGAGACTAAACTGATTACTTAATTCAAGTAGAAACCTTCCATGTCTTCCTAGAAGGACCCCACATCCTTCCTCTCTGTCAAATACCAGCACCCTGGTGTTCTTTCTTCTCTTTTTTAGTTCTCTCTTTGAACTGGCGTGGGGAGATAAGCAGTAACCTGGTTTATAAACAGGACAATGAGGGCAGCCAGTATTTGCACATGTTCTCAGAACAAGATAGAATTTTATGATAAACCCTGAACTCAAGAAAATTTCCCAAGGAAAACAATTATTTGTGAGATTTTCTACTGATTTAAAAAGGAAAATTAGTTCACACTTACCCTTAGTGTTGTTTTTTAGGTCATTTGAAACAAGTGTGACAGGAAAATAAATCTTCCTGGGCTAGAAGGAAAGCAAAGGGCCCTTCTGGTGGTGCCATCAAAGAGTTCAGTGATTTGCTGCCTCATCTGTTTCAGGAAAGTGTCTTGTGGAGCCCTGAAGGTTTTGTATACAAAAATGTTTGCCTTAGATTGGGTTTCTTTGTTTTAGACAAGTTCTTAATTCATTGAATGACCCGAAAAAGATAGGAGTTAAAGGGTTTAGAGTGAAAAAGGTAGGACAAGCTAAAAGTATTCTTTTCTGGAAGGGATTAAAAGCCATTTTCTGACGGTTATTTTGTTCTTGTTTTCAAGCTGTCGTGTCTGTGGATGGGAGGCCTGTGCAACTCCAGCTCTGTGATACAGCTGGCCAGGTCAGTAATCACTTTACTGCTCGGTCCTGGGAAAGGAAATAGCCTTTTAAAGGTTTCCAAATAACTTTTTATGACTTTCCAAATGATTTCTTCAATAACTGGGTCATTCTAAAGCCCTATGAAGTCAACTCACTCTTGCTGGCAGCTCCTCAAAGAAGATGGGGGAGGAAGCAGAGCACCTCAGCACTCACTCTTGTCAAACAGGATCTGGCCCAGTTCTGTGTGGTCAGGAAAGAGGAAAAGCAGGGTCAATTACAGCTCTTATCTTACAGAAATGTCTAATATAATTAATTTTTGTTTTTTATTACAAATTATCAGTAATGCTTTGTAATTGTTTCTGAAAATAGTTGGCAATATCTAATGTAAGGTCAATGAACTAAATATTAACAAAAATTTGCTCAAGAAAAAGATGATGCTTAAGTCAGTAAGTGTTAATATTTCCCTTCCTAATTTATGTTTTCGCTCACCATCTCTTGAAGCAAAGATACAGACATTATATAAGTCCTAAGCTAAAGAAATTAATAAACTAGGGCATATTTCATTTATTTATTTATTATTTTTTCATTGTGATTTGGGTGAAAGTTTACAGAGCAAATTGATTTTCCATTCAACAATCCATCCATGTTTTGTGACATTCATTGCAGTTACACTGTTCCCACTTCCTCTCTGTGTTTACCATTTGTCTTCATCCTTCTTTCCTAACTCTTCCTGCCTTCTTAGCTTTATTCCTGGGCAAATGTTGCCCCTTTGATCTCATATGGTTGATTGTTCTAATGAGTGTGTACCTCTCTGTTACTATTCTTCACCTTACAGGCCTATCTATCAATTGGCTGAAAGTTGAGCCATGAGAATGAGTCATGTCCAGCCTTGAAGGGGGTCTAAAGACTATAGTCTTAGGGAATCCACCAATCTCTATCCAATCAGAAAGCTTAGTCTTTCTATGATTTTGAGTTTTTTTCCATTTTTCTCCCACTCTATCCAGGACCTCCTATTGGGATCTGTTTCAGAACAGCCAGTAGTAGTAGCTGGGCACCACCTAGTTCTTCTGCTGTAAGGGATAGGGATGTTGGGGTTTACATAGTCCACCAGTCCTTTGGACTAATTGTTTTCTGTGTCTTTGATTTTCTTCATTCTTCTTTGCTCTGGATAGGAAGAAAACCAATAATTGCACCTTAGATGGTGGCTTAGTAGGACGTAGAACATTGTGAATATTTATTTTTGTTGTAAGGGCTAGCCACTTAGACAAGACCATTAGGGAGTGATGGGGAGAGTACTGATGTGAGACTAGTCTGGGTGACTCCGTCTTGGAGTGCTCCACTGAAGAACTTTCAGGGTACTCATCATCTCATGGAACACCCTGAGAACAAATGTTCAAGTCACTGGAGTCAAACAGCTCTTTTATTAGAACTCAAAGATGTGATATGTGATTCTGAGTTTGCTGAAGTGACAAGTTAATGACTATCATGTCTTTGTAATGCTTGGTAGAGTTAAAAAAGTGGTGGTGGGTACTTTGTAGACAGGTAACTTCATTTTCTGGAGCTGTCATTTGGCCATATGTGTTTAAAAAGTTGGCTTTCCAGGGTCTCCAAATTCATTATTCAAGACAGGGAAGCCAAATTGTTTACCTGAGACAGTAAGTTATGAACTAGGGAGAGGTTTTATATCTAAACCTAAAGATAACAGACTTGGCAGCTTTAGTAGTCCCAGCTGAACACCAGTTTGGTGGTGGCCATAGCAGTTGTGCCCCAGCCTCATCTGTCCTCTCCTTACCCTAACTATAGGAATGCCTCAGCTTCCCCTTCATCATGAGCAGCAGAAAAAACGAAAATGAGCTGGATGCTAATACTCATGGAAAGAAAAATCAAGGAACACTGTCTCTTCCAATATTTACTTATTCTGAGTGTCACACTGGTATTTAAAATTAAAGCTCCATTGCTTTGAATAAAGTGAGAAATTTTTCCTGTTACAGGTAGGTTATCTGACCTTTCAATGAGCAGAGTAACATCTCATTAAATACAGTAATGACCTACTAAAGTAAGAAGTGATAGCTCCTAGTCTGAAAATAAAGCAGAAGACAGAAAAGTCAGGAATTCAAAAGGTATAGTTAGGCAGCTCAGCACATCCCACTGCCCTGTGGATATTCTCCTATCAAATGCAGGTTTTCTACACAGTACTCAGCTTCCTGAGGTTGAGGGCATGATTTCTCTTTTTAGATCCCAGCTTGGTATCTGGCACAACAAAACCAAAACTAAACCCACTGCCACTGAGTCGATTGCGACTTCAACAACCTTATAAGGCACAGAAGAACTGCACCATAGTGCTTCCAAAGCTGTAAATCTTTACAGAAGCAGACTGGCTCATCTGGTGGGTCTGACTGCCAGTCTTTTGGTTAGCAACCAAATGCTTTAACCACTATGCCACAGAGCTCCTATCTGTTACACAGTATGGCTTAATAAAGATTTTTAGAATAGATGAAGAATGAAGTACTAGGTTCTAGGAGATGCAAAGATAAGTCATGGGCCTGTTATTTCAGAAACTGAGTCTAGAGGAAAGACAGGTTAATAGAACCTTGTGAAGGACACAAAGGAGACAGGAAAATATCAACTTTGAGGCTGAAGGGTGAGTTCACAGAGGTAAAGAAGCATTATCAGAATTTTAAAAAAGGAATAGGATTTTTACCAGGGAAACTGTTAAGATGATCCTGAATTAGCAAAGAAGTTCAATCATCCTTAGCATTGTGTGTTTAAAAGTCAGGGAGGCATGAAAATCATTTTAGAATTATTTTATGAGAAAAAATTATAATTGGGGGGGAAAGATTTTGCTGCTAGGTAGTTAAACTTCAGTTTATTGGAAATTATTATTCTGGTCTACCAGCAATATTTCAAGAGATTTGCTATTTCTTAATTGATGTGCTGGTTAGTAACATATACCTTTAAATTATAAGACTAACATCTAAAACCAAAAACCAAAACTAAACTCACTGCCATCGAGTTCATTAGACTCATAGAAACTCCTCCTTGGGTTTCCAAGACAGTATCTCTATAGAAGTAGATTGCCCAACCTTCCTTCCAACAAGTGGCTGGTGAGTTTGAACCACCAGCCTTCTGGTTAGCAGTCAGATGCCTTAGGCACTATCCCACCAGAGCTCTAGTTTCAAAAACTGTAAGAAAATGCTTTTCTGGTGAACAATACACAGATGGGAAAATAAAATCAGTTTTTTATAATATACATTATAGCATTAAAAAAATGAATATACATATATACAC